GTGATAACTAAGAGTACAGACCTTGCTTAGAAACTTACACAGAAGTGTCTCAGAGGACAGACAAAGTGCTAGAAAGCCACTGGGACTTTTCCATAGATTAAAAACCAGTATTTACACAGAAAAGTAATTACACCAGCACTGTGACGTGCTTGCTTGGGATTCATTTGTAAAAGCAGGCCAGTCCTACCCACTAATAATTTTAACTATGATGTTTGTTCTATTCAAAACACAGTTATATCGTGAGCTAAAAATGGAATTACGAACTATCTATGTAACTATTTAGGACATGCTAATTACAATAATTGGCTCCCTCCGTAACAGCGGAGACCTATAACAGCCTTTGAAGCATGTCAGCAAAATAATGGGCAAATTAGTGCTGTCCATACTGTTGATTTGGACTTTTACATTGTTTGCAAAGCTATGAAGATGCTACAGAGTGTATAAATAGCCACAAGATGAACATTCTTTTGTGGAGCAGAAGTGGCCTGAGAGATAGCAAACAAAAATTAAGGATTAGGTTTTTAAAAAAACAATAACAGAAAGACTGATTGCAATCATGCTGTATGAGCTCAGCAAAGCTATAGTGAGGGCAGATAATTGTGCAGTGAATAGAGGTCAGTGGGACCTATGGAGATGGAGACAGACAAGGTCCATGGAATGGAGAAGGAGGAGGAGACACCCTGGCTTCTCAAGCACTCAGACTGTAATCCTGGGAATGGCCACCAACGACAACCTTGCTGGCAGCTACTCAAGAATGTTGTACCCATGACTCCACCATAAGATCATCACCTCCAGACAACCACACTCCCTGCCATTTAGTCTCCTGGAGAAGACTGAATAGATGAATGTAACGCCAAATTGCTTTATATGCTAATGGGGCAGGATACTATTAGGAAAAGCCACTGAAAAGAACTGTGACTCAACAGAAGTAAATAGAAAAGCCATACTACAAGTGTAATCTTCTTTGGTGGACAGCCAATATCTTTGTAACGAAGTACTGAGTGGGATCTAAGAGTATTTTCTCAGATATAGGTCTAGGAAAAAAGCTTGCCCAAAGGTACACATTCAGATGTTTAAAGGCAATATTTGCCTTTCTAGAGGTGATGCTAATGAGTTAGCTGGGATCACAGCTCAGCCCCAGCCAAAGACATAATTGGTGCAAAACAGGAATTGTGATAAAGCCAAGAAAAGAAAGAAAGGAGAATTGTTGCAGTCAATTTTATTACTCTAAGGATGGATTGAAAACTCCTAGAAGATGTATTGCAAAGTTTGGCAGAATTTAGAAACTATTATCAATACTTACTCAGAAGGACAAAAAAAAAGGAAATTCTGCAAAGGAGAATTTGAAAAGGAGCATCTAAAGAAAAGGTCAATTCTGTGCAGACTAGAGGAAGGATGTGGTGTCTGTTAGCACGGTAAGGAGGAAGAAAATGTATGCGCCATGTAGAACCCTGGCAGATGGGAAGGGTTCAAACTAATTGTCACAAGTAGAGAGCACAACCAGCTGGGACCAAAATTGCCAGTACTCAACATATGTGAAAACAAGCTTGAAATGCTTGTAGTGCTCAGGTGTTCTGAGATAGCTCTGACATTGTTCAACACAGAAAAAATGCAAGGCCCAAATTCTCCAGCACGGTTAAACTACTCACCTTGAAGAGGCATTCTATCTGCTAATTATACATGACAGTGCTGGATTAGATAGTGGATACCAAAATTTACTATTGCTTACTAACAGTTGCTTTTGGCAGTGTTTGGTGTCGGAAGGAATAGCATTAGCTTTTTTCCCTTCTCACACTGCAGATGATGAAAGCTTTCAGGGAGATGAATTCCTCTGAGAGGAAGAAAAAGAGATCTAAATGTCTGGAAAGAACCACAGTAAATTTACTTGGGCTTTTTCAAAATGATGCTCTATTAGTACATGCAGTTGTGTCCTGGTGCGTGATCACGAACCAAAATCTCAGCTGGATCTAGGAACGGGCAAAGAGCACAGGGCTGAACAGCTATAGCTCCTACATCCGTTTTGGCAGCTGAAAAGGTCATCAGGAGATATGTTGATGTTAAAGCTTCTGTTATCACTTGGACCTCACACACTTCTCAGCTGGACCCTGCAGCAGCACATCCACACCTCCCTGATACCCTGTGTGGTGCCACGGCCCTGGAAAAAGGCCCTGGGGACCTGTGATACCCAGGCAGGCTACAACACCCTCCTGCTGTCCCCTCTCCCACAAGGCTCTGGGAGGTGGGCATGTGGGATGCCCCATGACACCAGCCCAAGGCCACCCCTGCTCACCTGGCCCACATCCCCACTGGAAGCTGCACTCACCAGCAAGACAAAAGCAGGAGCATGTGTGTATTTCAGACGAGAGGTCTTCTGTAGGTCCTCGCTGTGCTTATTTGCTGGCCACAAGATGGTGCCTTTCTACTTCCCATCAGCTGGGGAAGAAGACCAGGTGGAACTCATAATCTATCTGCCTTAGGCTCACAGCATGCTTGTGTCTGTATCTGTACTCTTAAAAAAGAAAAAAACAAAAAAAACAAAAAAACAAAAAAAAACAAACAAAAAAAAAACCACAAAAAAACCTACAAATTCTGCAAAATAAAACCCCCCAAAATCTACAGTGATGGGAAGACAGTTTTCAAGAAATTACCCTCAGAGAGTTCTTTCTCACAAATTTCTTCCCTCTTCAACTTTACTTGCAAAGCCCCACCCCAAAGACTTTGCTTGCACACAGAATAAAAAAGAAACAGGTTTGTCAAGAAAAGTGCATACTGACAAATACCTAAGAACATCAGAACCAGTCTATAAGCATGATGATACTGCCTCATAAACAATACAAAGACCTGTGCATGGCTAACTCATATTGTCTTGGCTGACTGAATACTGAATAACTTGGGTTTGATATCACTCCCACATACTTCACCAACATTATATTTGCCACCAGCTATCAGTAATGCAATTAAAATGGGAAAGTAATTACAATAGAAAACATATTTTCCTTTACTAAACTCTAATTCCAAAATAGTAGACGTGGTCAGAGGCATGGGTTAAATAGTTGCACTGAATGATCTTAATGGTCTTTCCAACTTTAACAGTTGTATGATTCTCTATTTATTTGTTGAGAGTATTGCACTGATGTGCAGATGGAGAAATTAATGAGACAACTGAAGATACAGCAGGCATAGATCTTGAGATGTGAAACCATTTATTCCTGAAGAAAAAGAAAAAGAAGGAAAAAAAAAGCACAACAAAAGTTTGATCCAACTTTTCTCCAACCAGAACAATGTAAGAACCAAAATCACTACTAGAATGTCCTGCCTATGTTAGGTTTGTGGCTTGATGTAGAACATTAGTCTGAGGAAATGAGGAAATCCCTTTGGCTGACAGGAAAGACAATAGTGAGTTTGTGAAAAAAAGATCTGATTTTTTAAAGGGGTTGGAAACTACACATGAAGGAGCCTCAGATGTCTCAGCTGTAAACTGAAACAATAAAGTGCTTGAGTGTCTGTTTTAAGGCCAGAAGGAGACCATGAACTTTACCTGGCTTCTTACTGAAAATGCATCACTGACTTACATGCACTCATCCCAGTAACTAAGCTTAGGCATTTTATTTTGGAGCAGATTAAGCTGGGTGCTATAATAGGGACCAAAAACCACCTGCCACCTTTGTTCCAAGGCTCTACAGTGACATGGAAAGGAGTATTGTTGTGATCAGGTGACCTCAGCACATCATCCACGTTTTGTACAAAGAAAAAATAAAAAGAGAAAAAATATCTGAAATCTAGAGGAAAAAAATGCTTCCTGACTGCAAAATTGGGTCTTCCACACATGACCCAAGCAGGGTCACGCAGGGCAGGGCAGGGCATAGTCATGCAGTTGTAGTAAATACAGATGTAGTAAATCTAAGCTACTTCAGAAGTACACAGGAGAAAAAAAAAGTGCTAAACTGTCTCAGAGTAACAGATTTCTCAGCTGACCTAGGAAGAGGCCACTCATTCTGCACCCTTCCTTACCCACTCAAACAGTAGAACTTTCCCCCCTAAACTGGCTTATATCTTTCACAAGTTATGCCTACAAGGTCTGCTTTGTACACTAACTTACTTATAGCTGAAATGTCCCTCAAGGAGTAAAGCCACGGCCGTGAATGAGCTACAGAAACAGCATCAACACTGGGCAGCCTTACTGGCTTTATCTACACCTGGTTGACCTCGCTCCTCTTTTTTCCTATTACACCTGCAGCAAAGACAGACAGAGATATGATGAGGGGCTTAAATATCTACTTTACACAGTGAGTTGGGAGTCCAACTGTAGAGCAGAAAATTTGTGTCTAAACGAACATCTGACTCAGCTACTAAACTGAAAAAGCAGCAGCTTTGTGGAGGGAGCTGGCAGCATCATTTAAAGAGCCATGGATTGCTTCCAGCTACCCTCTTCTCCACTTACTCTAATTATTTGTCCCTGATCCCTAAGTAGACTTAGGCTCAGGCTTGCTTAAAAGAAATGGATATTTCCGGAGCACCTTTTAAAGTTCCTTTCTAATTTACCTTTTTAACCTTAAACCCACAAGGCACATTAGGCTGTTTCAGCCCAACTACAGCCCATAGGAAAACATTGTCTTAACTCACACATGATAAACGTTGCCTCTGGACTCCTTTTTTTAGACAGAAGTGTGACTTTTTGTTTTTAACACAAGTCTCAGTAAGCAGTACCCCACTCACTTACTGGTTTCTGAATGCATACTCTAAGGCTGCTCTTCTCCCAGTTTGGACCACTTGCCTCAAAGCCTACATCTACAGCAAATAAGGCTGTAAGAGATGACTGGGCCATCTAATTTGCAGTGATGCTGGGTTACTGCCAAAAGCTTCTGTAAGTGCATCCAAAATGAAAAAAAAAAAAAATAAATAAATCAGTTTCTCATTCCAAGTGTATCTAAAAATACTTTTTTTTAATTTTGCTTAAATTCACAAATGATACAATAGTTAAGAGGTTGTTCTCTGTTTTTGGTTTGGTTTTTTTTTTTTTTTTTTTAAACATACTGTACAATCAGGTTAGTGAAGTGTTCAACACCAAGGCACAGCACACCATGTTATACACACACGCCTTGCTAGGCAGCAGCTCAGTACAACTCCCCGAGTTTTGGCAGCAGTGCCAGGATAAATAGCATGGATCACATATATGCTAGAAGATAAATAATAGATGCTGTCACATTTTATTTGAAATAGAGTTGCATATAAAAAGAATATACAATAATTTAACTTGAATAACTAGAGTCCCTTGTTCTATACATAACAGAAGTGTTCTCGTTTTTGTCTTAAACAAAACGCTTTCAATATTAGGATGCAAAATTAATCTTTTTTGGCTGTCTTGATTTGTGGAGAAGAGTTCCATTCATTAGAAATTAAAGCTGAGTCTGCAGTTTCACATCAACCTGAAAGAAACAAACAGAGTTACCCATATGTTGATAATTAAACATTGCCAGCAAAATGAGAAAAGCGATTCCAACCATACAGTTGCATTTAGATAATGCACTGTGGAGTCAGCTACCTAAGGGGAACACCTCTGAAAGTCCTTCTCCACAAACTTCACTAACATTTGTAACAGCTTTTTATACCCTTACTTATCCTATTTACCAGGGGTACTTTTATTACAAGCCTGTTACTCATCCAGCAACACTGAAGTTCTGCAAACTCAGGTTACCTAAGGGTTGCCTGCCCTGAAGATTATTTATGCAATATATTTACCATATGCATGTTACCATTCAGCTCTTTATATTTGAACGTTTCTTCTTCGCCTGCCGAAAGCCTTGGAGCCCACGTTGGTTGGGACAAAGTTGTTCTTGCCCACTCCTCCCGACCTGCTCAGGAAGTCTGCCAGGCGATGGGTCACACAGGTAGCTGTGTTGCACGCCCTTTTCTGTGCTGTTACACTGCTTTTTGAAAGGAGAACAAAGTTAGTTCCAAGTCAGTTTCCAAGGTCTCTACCCTGCTTGCAACAAGATGGCAGTAAGGGATGTTATACCTCAGAAAGCTTTTTCCACAAAAGCAAGGGCAGGCTTGTTGTATAGCAGGCATTTCATTTGCTCCACCAACAAGCTTTTTCTTCTAAGTATCAGGCTCAGTTTGTGAAAGGTAGTTGCCCAAGAAGGGCTTGTCTGAAGTGAAGACCAATTGGACCAAACCAGACTTTCGGGACATCTGAGCTGTTTCTTGTCTCCAAGGTACCACGGCAAGCACAGAGATGCTGGTGAGGTGCAGATCTGGGATATTTAACCAATCCCCTTTCCTCACAAAACTGTGAGGGGCCCAGCAGCCACTCATGTGCGTGCAGAGCTGAACCACACACAAGCATACTACTTCTGCATATCCAGTGGGAACATGGAAACATCTTTCTTGCCACTGGACCCCAGTTCAGTACAGCTCATTGCTATGTAAATACTACACTGACATCAGAATATCTTCAGGTAAGCCCATGGCAAGTAATTTTTTTTTGCTAGACAGTATTTCATGGCATACATTTCCACTCAGACCTTGCTTGAAAATTTTCTACTAAAGCAAGGACAAGCATCTGAAGGAAGAACAATTTTGCTCAGAAAAGCATTGCAGGACAGTTCATTAATGGTAACAAATAATATTGTTTATAACACTGATGCCATGATTCAGAACAGGCTTCTGCTTATAGGAGAAATATGATGTTGCAACAGAAGAACTGGAAATAAAGGTATGGAACATACTGTGAGAAACAGCTAAAGTAAGCATTTCTTTGAAAATACAGGCAAAACTATCTAAACATTAAGCAATAAGAACAACATTATTTAGCTTCTTTACTTAAAGCATACTCAGGTTTCAATTACACTAGTGTGAAGACTTATCAAGTGAGAAGGAAAAAAAAAAAGGCAGAGAAAATATTAAATTCTTACCTGTAAGTGTTCAGCACACAGTCAGGATTATGTTCCTAGTTTGTACAGCTCTGCATGAGCCTTTCTTGACTCCTTTGCATCTCAGGCTATTTACTAACAGGTTTGCATGCATGCTTGGTTACACCAGTGCATATATTGTATAATTCCCATGCGCATGAATAACTTCTAAGATACCTTTGCATTTTCTTAACTTATTAAACTTCTCTAGAATTTCTTGCATTGCCTCTCTTGAACACAACAACGTACAAAACCTCTCTAGCCTTATCTAGAAGTCTCACATTCTAAAACAAGTAAACAAAACAGATCTAATCCTTATAGAAAAATAGGTTTATTGAACAAGTGCGTGGGCAGGCACAGAAAAAAAAGTCTACTTGTACATTTAGTAGCCAGAAATGAAGAGCCTTTTCTAGATTCATTTTTTAAAATCAATACCTAAGAAAATCATTTGAAATTGAGGCAGCGCTGTCTATTTTTATTTATTTTTCCCCTAGCTTGATGTGTGTGTTATGTTCTGCCTTGCTAACATTAGGTCCACCTCAAACATTCTCTGTCAAAAACAGAATCAAAAGAACACAGCAGAGTTAGCAATCAAAGTTAGATCCACATGCATCAGGTTTAAAAAAAAAAGGGGGGGAGGATGGGGATGGAAGGGAAGAAGGGTAGAAATAAGCACGCCTAGTTGTTTCCTAGGGTTTCCCCATAGTTTGCATAGCGTTCATGTTCCAGGTCATTCAGCACATTTCTTTTCTTGCCAGGAGTTCCAGCCCCGACGTCAGTACGAGGGTAAGTTTGCAATTTGTGCAACTCTTGAGACAGTTTGCCCAGCACACAAGTACTCAGACTGGCACAGCGTTTGGAAATAGGTCTATCCAGGCTGCAGGGGGGGAAAAAAAAAAAACAACAAACAAACCATGCCCAAAAGAAGAATATTTCAAACATGCACAGTCATGCATTTCTTCCCTAGGCAAATATCTGCTGTTAAGAAAATCAAAATAATACAATAAATAATACAAACGCAATAATATAAAAATAATCCCTCCACATCACGCTCCATGCAAGCAAGGTTCAGACAAATGCACTTAGAAAGAAAACCACCGTTTTCAATGAATTCATTTTGTTGAAAAAGCAAGCTCATTAGCCTTTAAGATGCTTGCAGTTAGGAGACAGCAAGTTTCACTCTCCATGTATTCAGCATGCTTTTCAGTCTGTCATACATCATCACCATGCTTTGCAATACAAATCCTATTAGGATAATGCAAACGTTCTTGCATGCCTTTGCTCCAGGGGGGAGATGGCACTGCGTGCACTGGGAGGGCACCTCCCCTCTGCCAGGGGCTTTCCATGCCTTACAACAGCATGCACTTTCATGACAGAGAATCCAAGAGTGACTGAATGACCCCTAAATTCCCACTAAGAAAACATACCTTTTGCTGTATTTTTTTCCCCCCGTAACCCCCTCACTCAAGCTGAAATCGCCCTCCACTTTCGGTTGTAAGAGGCAGATAGAAGCAGGTTAACTAAGTGGAAGCCATTCTCCTGACACAAACGTTACGATGTCTCTACATTATCCTCCTTTATAAATTAGGTGATCAGTTAACCATAACCCCAAGAAAACAAAAACAAAAGAGAGAGGGTCTGCTCAGGTGGCTCTCTGTGAAGTGTCTGACATCCAACTTGACCTTTCCCAACCCCCACAGTCGTTGTCCTTACCTGTTCCCCTCAGAGGCTTGCTCCAGCTCCTCTGCTGTCATCTGTATGAATTCTTTCACCAGCGCATTTAATAATCTCCGAGCTTCGTAATCACTGAGCGTCACTCGATCTGTTATGGACTCCAAGCCAGGTCTACGCAGAGGCAAGAAAACAGGATGAACACAGAGAGCCACGTAAAGGAGAGAGGAGTGTGCCCTGCACTGCTGTACGTCATCGGCGGTGCCTTTCACGGGTGTGAAAATGCGAGTCACACACATGCACAGCATTAGGTGTTTTATACACCTAGTTAGAAAAACATGAATAGCATAGATAGCCCAGAAGAAGCCAGCTTTCTGTAGTCTTATTCTCTCCCAGAGCTCTTAAAAAAAATGAAAGTTAAGTATTTCCAAACCATTCAGACAAAGCACTCAGCAATACGACCGGCTTCTTACCTGACTGGAGCTGCCTGGAAGCTGTCCATCTGGCACACAACCAAGGCATAAACAGCAAGGAAAGATGAAATCTTCAGCATAACCATGATTTCCTCTCTACAACAAAGAGGCATATCAAGCAATGGCTGTTTTCCAATCATCTCGATCCTGTAAGACCTATTGAGGAGGCCATCCTCTGCTAGCCACAAGTTGCACAAGTGCTCACGGTTCTGTTTAACTGTTTTCTTTCCCCTAACATTACCTTTAATCACTCCATTTTGCTTTAGCTTCCTTGGAATTTTAAGATAACTGAATACTATTACAGGGAACATAAACACAGTCTTTCTGAATTGCAGTTCTGTCCAGCTGCTTTCAGCCTAATGCAGCCTTTCCCCCCAGACTGGGTGAAAACACATCCCCCTGTCTGCTACACAATGGCATTCAGGGTGTGCAATGCAAAGAGGCAGCTGTGTGAGAAGAGTCATGAGGAAAAAAAAAAAATTAATGAGGAAAGAGAAGGAGAAAAATGCTTACAGTTTAACACTGCTAAGAATGAAGTGCCACTGCTGGCACTGTACCTGAAGCTGCTTGCTTCTTGGCAGTTAGCACGCTAATGTCCCAGCTTAAATTATGCCTTAAGAACTAAGCAACTTCATTTCTATCAGTATTCCTACTCAGAAACTAGAGGCAGGAGAAGCTATTAAAAACAAAGCAAAAAAATACTAAAAAACAAAAAAAACACCCACAAACACAACCTGTCGCAAAAGCAAACCCTGTAAAAGAAATCATAATCGAATTGCTTTGAGTTACAGCTCTGCTCCTCACAGCATCAGCTCTCCAAGTTAGACAGGCACACGGGTAACTGCCCCACCAGCTCTAGATCTCTCAGCCGCCCGTTCCCGGCCCAGTTCAGCCTTCAGATGCCCCAAGGCCACCGGCAATGCCCTACAAGGAGGCTGCCCCACACCTCTCAGCCTGCAAGCGTCACAGGGATGGGGAGTGCGAGGGTCGGCTCCTACCTACCTGCTCCGCTCGCTTTCTTTCTCCACACACCCACCCACAGAACTAACGCGTTACCGCCCCGCACGTCAGCGTAATGACACGAGAGAGCCGGGAGCGCCGCAGCACGCGGATCTTGATCTTACCGGCGGTGCGGGTCAGAACAGCGGTGCCGCGCGGAGCGGAGGCCGTGCTGCTGCCGCCGAGCCGCGGTGCCGCGCGCTGCCCGCCGGCCGCCCTTTATACCTGCCGCCGCGGCAGCCTGCGTGGGCGCCCGCGGGGCCCCGCCAGCCAATCACTTCCCCGGCCGCCCGGCCCGGCGGTGACGTCATGCCCCGCTCGGTCCCACCGTCCCATTCACAAAAAAGCCGGCGGCGGCAGGGCGGGGGGGAGGAGGGCGAACTGCCTCCCACGATGCCCGGCCGCACGCTCCCCAACTCCCTCCCCCCCGCCGGGCTCGCTCCGGGCGGCCTCTGCCGTTCTATCGGCGCCCCGACGGCTGTGTTCGGACGGGAGGGGCTGCGGCCGCGAAGCCGGAGCGTACGCACAGTGCTGAGCGGAGCCTGACGGGTCCCTGCCGGCCGGAGCGAGGAGCCCCGGGCGGCTGAGAGCGGCAGCCCTCGCCGCCTCCCCCGGGCTCGCACCACGGTGGGATCCCGCAGCCCTCGAGGAAATCATCACCGTCATCTCTGCCGCCGCTATTACCGGCACGGGCAGGTGCGGCGCCTTCCGGCGCTCGGAAGAGGCGGGGGGATGGAGCGCGGGACAGGCGGGCGGTTGCGGATTACCGACAGCTGCCGCGGCTCCACGCATCACCGCGGAGGACCCTTTGCACCTGCCGCCAGGATGTTTGCAAGGGCGGAGGAGTGTTTGCCGAGGGGTCTCGAGGACCGGAGAAAAGCGGAAAGCCGCCTCCGGCCCGGGCGGGAGCAGGGAGGAGAAGAACCCACACCCCCGACTCCGCAGCCGCCGATGGGGCGGGTGGAAGGAGAGGGGGGAAGCGGCAGCCCCCGGCCCCTCTGGCTCCGGGCCCCCTCCCTGCGGCGCTGCCGAGCCCCGCCCGCGGTATGAGGTCGCGCCCCGCGTTGCGCTGTCGCTATCTGTCCCCAGGCTGCGAGCGGGACTCAGCGGCCGCGCGGAGGTGAGCAGCGGGCGGGGTGCGGGACGGCTCGTTCCGTGCTCGGTGCAGGCGGGCGACTTGACACGGGCACTGCTGCCGCATCCTCTTGCATTATTTTTTTTTTTCTTGTTTGTTTCACAGACGGCTCCTGATGGCAGAAGCAACGCATTTCACCTGCAGACGAACGAAGGTAGGGAGAAACGAGAACAGGTATTCGCTGTCTTGGAAGTTGGAAGAGGAGCATGGACGCGGCGCGCTGATCAGTCGATGGCGGCTTCTTCATTCTCCTCCCGCCCCGCAGCGGGGCACCGCGCTACGGCAGGGCTCTGGCTGCCGCTTTTCCGCTCTCGTTCTGCAGAACGATGACTGCAGAACCGTTTAAGACGAACGGAGCCCGGCCCGGGGCTCCCCGTTACGCATCCCGTTACGGCTCCCTCCCGGCTAGGCTCGTCCCACAGCCCTCCTGCTGCTCCCACACGCGCACGTGGAAAGTTAGTTTGTGATGCACGGCTGCGTGCCAGGGGAACCTTCGGTCTCCCGAGAGAAGGAACTGAAGTATTTAATTTTAAATATATTTCCGACACTTCTGTGCTGATTTCTCAGCTAGTCTTTCTGAGGTTTCATTTACAAACGTGAGGTAGCACCCAAAGGAACAGGTCGGCATCGCTTTTGCTGTTTCAGCGTGACTTGTGCAGCTCCATCAACAGATGTATGGTGTGGGAGCTCCAGGACTGAACTCACAGCCCCAGCCTTCCACCATTCCTTTCCCTTTCTATGTTAAAAATTAATCACACTCATTTTCTTTGGGGATTTATTTACTCGGCAAGGAATATTTATCTTTTAACCTTTAAAAAACCCAGACGACCATGTAGGAATAGAGTATCTCAGTTCTTTAGAGGGATAGCAAGCTGTATTCCATCTTACAGCCAACTCCAGTCACTCCAAGTACTTCTCTTGCCAACATAACAGCCCCGGGCTGGAGCCCTCAGGATGTACTGATTACGGATTTCAGATGCCAGCGTTTCTACTTTAGGCTTTCACAGGAAGAAACATAAATTTAAAGCAACAGGTATTAGTGCTAATAGATAAACTTTTGTGAGCGTAAAGATGAAATAGTATTTGGATGTTGGCAAGCGCTTTGGCTGCTCCTTGCCAGCACTAATGGAGGGACTCCCAGCTCCTTCTGTTTTTTTTCCCCACAATTATACATCAGCTGGTCTCATCAGATAGATTTTCTTCCTCTCTTCTCTTATACATAAGATGGAGAAGCAACAGCTATGAAAGAACTCCAAAGATGGGATTGTCTAGTTTTAGAAACTGCCAAAAAGTGGCAGGGCTGTTATGGGATCAAGGTTTCCTGCTGCTGGATAAATCCAAAACCAGAGGTTAAGTATTTGTGGGAAAACTAGTGCAGTGGGTACCTGTGAGCACTGCACTAAGGAAACATGAGGTTTATAGAAACAAGGATCTGGTTCTGCTTCCTTCAGTGCCTGATGTCAGGTGAAACAATCAGTTTGTACAGGTTCAAAGGAGATGAACTGAAGTGCTACAGAATGACTTGATTTTTTTTTAATAAGAAGCTAGATTATCCAATACAACCTGCAGCTCCAAATAAAAAAAAAAAAAAGAATTTCCTCTTTTAATTAGTTTGTAGGGAATCAGAAAAGGCTGCCCTCTTTTCAATTGACTTTCTTTCTCTACATTTGATTGAATTTCTTCCAATATCCTACTGCATGTTGTTTAGCTATACGTCTTGAAGCACAACCATTTGTTTTTCTGCTATAAATATTGCCATCGTGCCAACAAGCCATAGACATTGCAGTGAGGTTCTTAAATGTCACCTGATTTGCAGAGCAGGATGTTTCATGTTAAAGTGGGTTATAAAAGCTACACAGCCTTTCTGTCTCTGTGTCTCTACCTGTCCATGTTCCAGGTAGATGCCTAATTCAGCTTCGTATCTCCACACATGGCTGGAAAACACTTCCAATGAAGAAGATGACAACTCATACAGGGGACAGTGAACGCTGCTGAATACCCATGAAAACATCTTTCTAATGTGTGACCCCAATCTGCCCCGCAGAAAATTAATCAGGACCTGAGTTAGCCACATGGTGCTGTATTAAAATAAAGTTGTTTGTTAACAGGAATGTCGTGTTTAAGGCCCTGGAGCTAATCCTTGCACTCCACTTGCTGCTGATAAGACCTAGACCTCACTGTACTCTGTTCAGGGTAGCATGACATACCTCAGAAAGACCTGGGCAACTTGGAGGGAGTGAAGATTGGAGAAACAGCAGAAGGAAAGATCATGGAGAAAGATCAAAACATAAATACTTGCTACAAAGAAGTAATAATGTGCTCGAAATGTAAAAATATATGAACTTAAAAGACAACAGTAGAAATGCTGTGCGTTAGAAAGAGCTTCCTACAATTGAAATTAGTGCCATACAAGAACAATTTCTATTGCACTAGACTAACAGTTTCTATGCCACTGTAAGGCATGATAGTCTAACATCTGTCAGGAATGACATCATGTAGATAATATTCATTCTGGGAAGGGAACACGATTAACTAAACGAGCTTTCTTCATCTCTTTCATCTCCAGTTTCTGAGATTCTGTAATTTTAACATCTAGAGACTTAAGCTCTGAAACATAACACCTTACCTATCGTCCAAACTTTTACTAGCACAGGTCTTTAGATCTTACCTCCCTAAATTATCTGATCCTTTCCCAACCACAGCCTTCAGAAGGCAATGTCCATATTTAGACTAAGCTCGTGTCAGATTTACCAGCACAAATTATATTTTAGCCATCCATCATGTAGTTTCATTTAAATTTGGCCAAAAAAAGAAAGAGTTTGTCTCTTTAGAAAAATGCAGCATTTCACTGAGAACCAGAACATGGATACAGATCCCAACACCAGAGGGTTCCCTTTTTAATAGCATCAGCATTCAGGGTGCTTCAGTGACTCGTTTCTCAAGAAAGGAACTGTTATTGAGCTAATTACTGGGAAATCTATGAATCAGTCTGGAAGCAAATTCAGATCTTCCAAAATGCCTTAGAAAAGCTTCCAGACTGAAATATGGAAGACATTTTAAACAGAAGATCGATGCTGGATTGTTTTAATCTCACTGAAACGCTCCTAATGAGCTTTGGCTTTGAAGTACTTTCCCTGTATATACTCAAAAACCTGGTGCAGAATAATCTTTTACAACAAAGTGGGTCACGCTGTGCGGCACTGAGGGTTCTATGGCAGGGGAGAAGGGGCAGACCATAATAAAGCTGGCTGCGGCTCCATCGTCTTCCATCCTGCAGGCTCACAGAGGCTGCAGGCCCAGTTCATGCCACCTGGCAACACTTCCACCCTTAAGAACTGGCAAAACTCTGCAGTACTCCAGCCAGACCCAGTTCTGTTCCAGGCTGTACCTCCAGTGCTGTGACAAGGGGAATCCCTGAAGGGGAGATTTCAGCTCACCAAATTCAGCCATGGACAGACTCACAGCATGACCAGGCTAACACAGAGGGGACAAACTGCATGGGAGAATCTCACTCTGAAACACAGCACCTATTTCCACTTCAGTTTTACATGTTCTCCAGCTGAGATAGGAGTTGAACAAACTCCTTACCTGGAAAGCAGCCTCAGAACTGAAAACAGACCTTGTTAGGCAATAGCACAGTTATAAAACCTTGTTTTGATCGCTTGCACAAGTGCTACGCTGCTATCTTATATGTCATCAGAGCGTGTCAGCAAAAATCTAGTGAGAAACTGTCTGGTGAATCCTGAAGTTAACCCTGTATTTGTTCTTCACAAGATACTAAGAGCCTGGGAGAGCTCATGTCAGTATTTCATTCTTTGCCTCAATAGAAGAGGGAACCCTAACTGTGATTAAGCCACAGTGTCATTTAACAGTTTGATCAGCCCATTCCAGGATCATTCTGTTGACCCCATGCCGTGGGCTGCTACAGCCATAGGTCCCTGTTGTTGCCAGCAGTGCCACGTGTGTGGGGAGGACCAGGTGTAATAGCTTCTCAGCTGGCTGTTTAACTCTTTGACTCTTCACAAAAGCCACTTGTGCTCGACAAAGAAAGAAGCCTGCTTTGATACAAGTTGGTGAGATACTTGATGGAGCTTGGAAGCAACTTTATCTTCCTCCCAAGAATGTAACAGAGTTGTCATTGGACTTCGAATATTGTTACTGAAAGAGCAATCCCAGCTATGAGTAGATTTCTTCAAATTCCTTCTGAAGTCAAAACTATGCACGTGCATAGTCACTTCCTTTCAAAGAACTGCCTTCTGCTTTTCTGGAGAAGGCAGGAACGTAATCTTTGCTGTTACTTAATTGCATCCAACTTTTCCTTACAGGATTTATGGTGCAAAGTAATTGTGAATTGTGATGACCAGAATGTTTTAGAATTTAATAAAGATACACACTTTAATGGGTTTCCTTACTCAGCCATCATTTTTTATAATTGAAATCACAAAACCTTTACTCATCCTATGAGTTTGCTCATTTGATCATCTGTGATTAAGATGAGTAAAACCTTCCCAAAGTAGCAATTCAGCACAAGCTACCCCCACACTCTCAAAAGAATGAAAGAAATATAAAAAGATCAGTGAGGAACTGGCAAGGAATCCATCTTGGATAGCCCAATGGGTTCTTGAATCCCTGCATCTCTGTTCTTACGTGATGTCATCTGTCTGCAAAGCTTCATTTATCACTTCTGACAACTTTCAGTCATACTTATCCATGGCTTTCAGTCATACTTTTCCTCCATTTAATCATTCTTTAGAGACTGTTGGATTTTTAACCTTAGTAGATTCATGACCTTTTGGCTTGACCAAATCTGATATAACAGCTCTGCAATCATGTGCTTCATTTCTCATCCTCTGTTACAGCGAATAGCACCATCTTCTTTCCTCCATCACCACAGGGTCTAAATACTATGATAAGATCAGTTTTGATTGTTCTCTCCTCCTCTTGAAAATGACTGTTGGGCTTTTCTGTACCTCCTTTTATTTCTTGGATCTTCCTATGCTATGTTTGTTTTCTGTTTCTCCTCCCCAGAATGCTTGCTGCCAAGAAGTCAATCACTTTTGCTCTCTTTTCTTAGACAGATGCTCTGGAAATCATCTCTGGGTGCATGTGATGTATTACACACTTAAAAGTGAAAATCAAAGCAATTGCAGCTAGGCTATGTTTCCTCAGACACTCTGAGAACTATTCAAGTGTCATCTGATCTGGGACAGGTATATTTTGATCAGCTCATCTGCGTACCTCCGTTCACCTAAATATGCTGATGGTAAACCCCTTCTTCCTTACTTAAGTAGGTTTGAATCCACCCATTTGAGTTTGCGTGTTTCAGCACAGCTGCTCAAGCAAATTACAGACCTTTTTTTTAATCACTTCCCCTCATTCTGCCTCTGGTTGGAGCCAAACTGGTGTCCTGAATCTGTTGCCCACTGGTGAGAAATCTTAGGGCACTGACACGTTGATGTTTTTGCAGGCATGGCCAAAGTAATTCAGTCAAGATGACAGGAAATTTCATAATGAAACAAAGTGTGAGGGAAGGGATTGCACTGCTTTACACTGTGCTGGTGCAACCTCACCTTGAGTACCGCGTGCTGGTTTGGGTGCCACAATACAAAAAGGATATAAAACTACTAGAGAGTGTTGAAAGGTGACAAGAAAGATGGTGAAGGATTTACAGGGAAGGATGTATGAGGAGTTGCTGGGTCCCTCGGTTTGCTCAGCCCAGAGCTGAGGAGCTGAGGGAAGGCCTGATGGTGGCTGCAGCTCCTCACAGGGAGCGGAAGGGCAGTGCTGAGCTCTGCTCTGTGTGACAGCAACAGGGCTGAGGGGAGGCTGTGCCAGGGGAGGGGCAGCTGGAAATGGGGGACAGGTTGTGCACCAGAGGACATAGCACAGGCTGCCCAGGGCAGCGGTGATCACACTTATCTACTGGAGTTCAAGGAGCGTTAAGGCAGCACTTGCAGACATAGGGTCTGATTTTTGTGTGGTCCTGTGTACAGCCAGGAGCTGGAGTTGATTACTCTAACGGGTCTCTTTCAACTCAGGTTATTCTATGGTTCTGTAAGATAACTTGCACCCAAAATGCCAGGCAAAAGGCCACACCTTATCATTTCCCAGTCCCCTTCCGCCATCCCAGTCACAGTACCTCCTCTCTGTGCTCTCAAAGTGATGCCTTTGACGTGCTTCATTTTGTCTTCACCTGCCTTCTGAGCAGCATCAGGGGCCATCCTCAGCCTCTGGGCCATGTGCTCTCAAGTTAATACCTCCACATCAGAAGCGGAACATCCCAACACAGGAACATACTGGGGATTAAGCATTAAATATTTTGATGACCGAGAATGCGATGCACTTTGATCAGTTAGGTTATTTATGAAGTTCATCAGTACAGACTCTGTATCAGTGCAGATCTTAATCTTCTTACAGAACTACTGGAGGTACTGAGCTAAAATCAGCAGAAAGAAAGGCTGATTGGACACAGCACTGTAATTTTAGCAGGGCATCAGTACTCCTGGTATGCTAAGATCTACTCGTACGGTAGCAGTGATAGAAAAGTAAAACAACATGAGCGGAAACAGAGTGAGGTTTTTTAAGAACCGTTTAACAGGATGTTATTCTTCATTGTGGGACTGCATTCTTAGCTCGGCAGGAAGCAGTCTGTGTTTGTCCAGTATCTGCAGCCCTTTGCCGAGGTGCCACCCTGCTCGCTAACAGCGGCAATAACGAGTTACGCAGAGATGTCCTCCAGCAGACATCAGGCTTCTGCCGACGGTGCCCATCTCCCACCAGCGGAGCCCCGTCGGACGGGCACATTCTCTTTATCGGGGCTAGAAGGGAGGGCGAGAAGGGAAGGAAAAGCGACGGGGCTGTCCGTCTGCAGTTGTTCCAGACCCGAGGAGGCTCCGGGAAAGACGCCCCCAAAGCGCGTATGTCTGCTTTTCCTGTTTTTCCAGGTCGGCGTAGAAAGCTATTTTCATTCGGGCGCCAAAAGCTTCTCAGCGCTCCACCAGCGCAGCCCCGTCCCGCCCCGCAGCCAGCCCGGCCCGCTGACGCGAGGGGCGGTGCTCCCGGGGGCCGGTCTACGCGGGGCGGCTCTGCCAGCGCCCAACGCGGGGCAGCGAGCCGGGGCCGGGAGGAAGCGGCGCGATGGGGCCGGCGGCGGGGGACGCGGAGGCGGCGGCGGCAGCGGCAGCGGGGGGCGGGCCTTGGCTGCTGCTGGCGCTACCGCCGCTGCTGCTGCTGTTCGCGCTGGTAGTTCGGCAGCTGTTGAAGCAGCGGCGGCCGCCCGGCTTCCCTCCCGGCCCCGCGGGGCTGCCCCTCATCGGCAACATCCACTCCCTGGGCGCGGAGCAGCCGCACGTCTACATGCGGCGCCAGAGCCAGATCCACGGGCAGGTACCGGGCGGGAGCCGGCACAGACGCCGAGCCGGGGCAGGCGACGGGCGGAGCGGCGGAACGGCCTGGCCGCTAAAGGGGCGGGACGGCGCCGGGGGCCCCGCAGCTCTGGCGCTGAGCGTCGGGCGAGACGCGTGCTGCGGGCGGCCCGGCCCCGGGCACAGAGCGGCTCCCGTGCGTGCCGGTGTTCCGCTTCGGGACAGCGGTGTGGCCGAGCATCCGGCTGCCCTGCATTCGCGGGGCTTCGCCAAAAGGAAAGCAAAGGGCAGGCACGGGCATAGTGCGGCATTGTCGCGGGAAGAACTGTGCATTAAAGTGCCTTCAGAGTGATATGGGAGTGTACTTACTGACAGTCCATTTATACATATATAGGAATGTTGTGATGGTTTTTTTTTTTTTTTTTTTTTTTTTTTTTTTCCCCCCTTTTCATGTTTTCTTGTTTCTCAGCTGTTCCTTTTCATTACCCCGTTTCATGGAAGCAGTCTATTCTTACACTCTTCAAAAAAAGCGAAGCCCAAGCTATCAGTGCTGGCTCGGAAAGGCAGGCAGAGCAGATGCAGCACGTGTAGCCGTGCGCCTCTTCCCGTCCCGTCCCGTCCCGTCCCGTCCCGTCCCGTCCCGTCCCGTCCCCCCCCATCCCGGAACGCCTACGGGCTTCTCCTTAGAGGGATTCTCAAGCGATGGAAAGAGTGAGCTTTGAGTCCAACAAACACTGGCTTGCCTAGACAACTAACTTCCTCAAACTGTTAAGAGTGGTTTAAAGGGACAAGGCAGTGAAAGAATACTGGTGATGGTGCATAAGTCTTTCAAAACCTTTTGTAAAGCTTTTCATTATGAAAGCTACAGAAGAAACTTAACAGTCATAGTCTTATGAACGAGAAGCAAAGTGTGTGAACGAAAAGCATGCTCAGTGGCAGAAAGGGTAGGGTTATCTCTTCATCTCTTTCCTGTTATTTTGGCAGTAAAGGTGTTTCAAGGAAAATACTGGGATGAACTGAATGGAAATAGGAAGGCAAAAGTATCATCCAAAAATTAAGCTTTATACTTGCCTGAATGCTGACTGCAGTTCTCTTCACCTGCTGTCATCAAAGATTCTGCAGAATTTGGGGTAGATCAGGAGGCAGACCAGGATATTGGGAGCTCTAGAGGAGATCAAGGAAATGATCTTTTAAAAAGTGTTTCACAACATACAAAGAATGATAAACAGGCTATAATTGAAGTATACAAAAATAAATGCTTCCAAGAGGTATAGCGGTACTTTCTTCTCATCATGTAAAAAAGAGCAATTGCAACAGTGAAAAATTTGCATTTGCTAAAAGGAAAAAGACTTCATAGAATGAGTAACTAAACTACTGCCCATTACTTCTTCATACAGCGATGGTCAGCAATGCTGCAATGAAGAAAAAATGAAGATTTGTGTAGGTGAAAAATACCAGATTTAATACGCCAACAAAAGTGTGAAAAGGAATATAGAATTTCAGGCTTGAGAATGTAGCCTCATTTTTATTTTATTAAGCTTAGGAGAAGATTTTCATTGTGTTTATCCTGTATGTGCCTTCTGCAGGGTGTATTGCATCTTTCTCCAAAGATGCACTTCTAGATGCTGAGCACTTCTGGAAACAGGAGATGGGACTAGTTGGGCTATGCTCTCATTTGTTGCCCATCATATCTGTCTTCTGATGGGTCTTTGGGAGTCTGTGCAAAGTAAGCTGGTGCCTGGTTTCAGGGAGAGGAAGGACTAGGAGGAGCTTGGCTGTCTTCCAGCACTGACACCACTTCTATGTCTGCCATCACTAAGTGATGGAAGATTTGGTCAGAAGAACTCGTAGCTTCGATCACAATGCCCTTAACCAGATTCATCTACTGGATTCTTTTATACTACGGAAGAAAGGAGCAACAGATAGCAGCGAAACTTCCCCCTTTCCTTGTTTCAATATGAAAGTATATAATACAAGGACTTTAGTTCTTCTATAAATAATGTACCTTTCATCCACTTGCATTTGGAGAAAAAACTTTTTTTTTTTCTGAAATATGCACAGGTTCTCTCTTTTTTTTTTCTTTTTAATGACTGTATGAAAGTGCTCCCAATCCTTACTTCGGTGGTTTGGTCCCACAGGGTGCACTGCAAAGCAGCATGTAGCACAGGCTAACTTACTGTACCATTTGACAGAGATTAATTTAGCTCACAACAAACTCTGTGATGCCACAATTGTGTCAGTACTTGAAAACACTCCTGTTTCTTGTACGCCCATTGAAGTTTATTGCTGTATTTATGAAATCCATATTTTGCATTGAGGTTTAGTGATGCGTCACTTTTTCATTAGCTATATTTGCTTGTTTTCATTATTTCTTTGTAAGATTTGGTTGTAACAGCATTTTATAATCTCTTTTTTTTCCCTCAAGATTTTCAGTCTTGATCTGGGAGGTATATCTGCTATTGTGCTGAATGGCTATGATGCAGTGAAAGAATGCCTTGTCCACCAAAGCGAAATTTTTGCAGACAGGCCACCTCTTCCTTTGTTTAAGAAGCTGACAAACATGGGAGGTAAGTGCTAGTGTCTTCAAACAGAAATGCATTTTTGTCCATAAGATTTTACTAGGCTGTATGATCGCATGCAACATTTGCTCTAGTTGTTTTCTCTACCTTATCTCTTATCATGAAATACTCGATGCTTCTTTAAAGATATCTAGAAAAGACTGTCATTCCTGAGCTAAATTCCACAGCAAGATACATGTAATTTATTTATTTATTTTTTTATCACTATGCTCTACCCTCCTCAGTCAATTAATGTCAGTTGGAAAGCTATTTTCTTTGTTTCTGGGAATCAAATTAGCTTTGAAGCATCTCTTAGCTTTTAGCTATGAGCAGTGCAAGAGTCTTCTGAAATAGCTATACTTATCTATTACTGTAACTCTTCCAGTTGTTTAGCATGAACTCTGAGAAACATATTTTTCACTCAGAGGGCGGTGACGCACTGGAACAGGCTGCCCAAGGAGGCTGTGGATGCCCCATCCCTGGAGGCAGTCAAGGCCAGGCTGGATGTGGCTCTGGGCAGCCTGGTCTGCTGGTTGGCGACCCTGCACATAGCAGGGGGTTGGAACTGGATGATCATTGTGGTCCTTTTCAACCCAAGCCATTCTGTGATTCTGTGATTCTATTTTCTTGCAACTCATTTTGCCTTACTTGCAGATTTGGTCTTTTTGAGTTGGCAAATATAATTTCTGTGGCCTTGTTAGTGGGAAGATCTGTATTAAATTGGCCTTGAACATTCAGATACAGGTGTATGAGGAACTTCAGAAATTTTGATGACTTTAAGAGCTGCACCTCAAATTTAATTTCTGAGTTTAAATGTCAGTATTTCTTCTGGTGTTTCCATTCTGTTTCTTTGTTTTCTGCCTTTTATGCCTGGCTTTGTAACGTCTGTTTTGCACCAGCTCTTTTACCTTGTATTGTACAGATTTCAGCCACATCATTAAAAATTGCACCTTGTTCTTTCCTATACTCAGGGTTTTCTTTTAGAGTGGTTATTAACATAATTATTTTTAACCTAGACTGGCAGCCCCGGATCCTAACGGCACTTTATCTCCCATAGATGCTGAGAAGTAGATGACTTTTATAAATCTGATGGAGACAAATACTGAGAGATTACTTAGTATTTGAATTCTTTGAATCTAATCTTAAAAGATCTTATTTAAAATTAGTTATAGACAGACTTCACCTCAACTTTTGTTTATAGGATATATTACTTTTAGTAAAAGCTAAGTTAAAACTTCAGTGAAAAAGGAAAATGCGGGCATTAATACATGTTAGTATATGTCTTATGACTCAGGAGGCTTGCTTTTTGATAGCAAAATCCTCTTGGTGTACCTGCTGACGTTATAGTGGAAATAACTCATAGCAATTGCTCTTAGTCCCAGTTTTCCATAAATGCAAAATGTTTCCAGATAGATCTGACGTGCTTTTACATAAGGGTATGAAGTCTGCTTGCCTGTAGTAGCACAGGTGTATCTAATTCAGCTTCGAGGCAGAGGGGTTGTTTAGGCAATCTTCTAATTGCTTATTCTACTAGCAGTAATATACTTTTAGAGTGGACTGAATGGTTAAATAGTTTTATTGCCTCGTTGAGGAAAAAAAAAAAGCATTGCATAAAATGCTGTGTCAAAACATTTTTTTCAGGCTTACTGAACAGTAAATATGGCAGAGGATGGACAGAACATCGCAAACTAGCTGTAAATACCTTTCGAACTTTTGGATACGGTCAAAGGTCCTTTGAACACAAAATTTCAGAAGAATCTGTGTTTTTCCTTGATGCCATTGATACCTACAAAGGCAGACCATTTGATCTGAAGCACTTGATAACAAATGCCGTTTCAAACATTACTAATTTGATTATTTTTGGAGAACGTTTTACGTATGAAGATACTGAATTTCAGCACATGATCGAGATTTTCAGTGAAAATGTTGAATTAGCTGCTAGTGCCTCTGTATTTTTGTATAATGCTTTTCCTTGGATCGGCATCTTGCCATTTGGGAAACACCAGCAGCTGTTTAAAAATGCAGCAGAAGTCTATGACTTTCTTCATAAGCTTATAGAACGAGTCTCTGAAAATAGGAAACCTCAGTCACCTCGGCATTTTATAGATGCATATTTAGATGAGATGGATTGCAACAGAAGTGATCCAGAATCTACATATTCAAGAGAAAACTTAATTTTCTCTGTTGGAGAACTCATCATAGCTGGGACAGAAACCACAACAAATGTTTTGAGATGGGCGGTGTTATTTATGGCTCTTTATCCAAACATTCAAGGTAAGAACTTTGACATTTTGAGGAACTGATACACCTTCCCATTGCAAATTATAAAATGAAGTATGATAATAACATTCTAGCATGTTATTAAATTGTTTTACAGCTTATTATGGAGATTTGATTTTTTTCATCTAATATATTTACATTCTGCATTGCATTGCTTAATATTGGTTCGTAGATGCACTAAATCTATATGTTAAAATAAATACATGCAATTAAGGAAGAAATGATAACAAAATGTAAAAACATCAGCAAAAGTATTTGGGGTATCTTACTTGCAATTTCGATTTTCCTTAAGCACCTCAATTCAAAATAGATTATAGTTATTTATATTTCTGGAAGAAAGAAAAAAACATTTAAAAACAAGAAGATAAGGTTACAGCTATCGGGAAGTAAGGCAGCACTAGATGTTTGAATATCAGCCCGGACACTGGGCAGAAATTTGGATTTCAGAGGTAACTAGTCATCTTGTTTCATTGCCTACTGATTTATTTCTCCTATTAAAATTAGCAGCACTTACTTCAAATAGAATCTTTCATGGTTTGGAGAAAAAGCAGTGTGGATGACTCAAATTTGTAAATATACTTTGACCAAATAATACTGCTCTAACATCAATTGGAACATTCTTTTAGTTTAGGGATAACAACACTACCCATGTCTGTAAGGCTCTCCAGTTCTATCTAGAAATCAGATCTCTTTATATATGAAAAGTTCTGTTTTATTTTTGTGGTAATGGATGTTTAACTAAGGAGAAATACGTAGGCTTCACTGAGTACAAAATGAATACTTCTTTTGTGGAAGCATAAAAGTGAGGTTGTTATTTTTAAGCAGTCAGCATATTTCAGATGATTTAAAACAGACAGTTCTAAAATAATTATATACTGCTTTTATGTTTCTGCGTTCTGTTGATTTGTCATCGTGCTTGATAGTAGTGCAATCAGAAAGTCTACCAAAAAAAATTAAAAATGATAGAATATGATTATAGGTACTTAAGTTTTAGGATACGTATTTGTGTTGAAAAGAGGTATTTTAAGTGCCACAAGTAGTCAAAAAGACTAAAACATCCTAACTCCCTGAGCTCTGACCAAGATCTTGTTATTCAATAGAGATCAAGAAAAACATTCTCTCTTCTCCTGTACACTGGCCAGTTTTGTAGAAATCCACTCACCTAAAATAATCTTCTGATCTTAGATACTGTACAGTACAATACATTCCTGGATCAGAATTCAATATCAGTTCATCTAGATAAAAATAAAAATTGATGTTACTTTTTTTTTTTTGACAATACATGCCAATAAATCACTACATTACAGGATGTGCTTTCACTAAGCCGTTTCCCATCTCTTTATATTGATACGAAATACTGTCACATCAGATTGAAGAACCTGGTGATTCTTGGTAGAATTTTCCTGTTGCTATTCAGATTTTCATTATTTGTACATGAAATGTAAAAATGCAAATTTGTTTTAATTAATTAGGGGGTTGTGTTTCAACAAAGAAAGCTTATGAGGAAAAAAAAAAAAAAAGAGGAGGTCCAAATGCCTTTGAGATTTTTCTGAAGAGTGATCTTATTCCTATGAACCTAATTTTAAAAATAGCTAAAAAAATGAGGATTGAATTTTTTTCTTTTCAGTTACATTCAGCATCTTGCTACTGCAGTTCTTTTTATCTGATACATTACAGTGAGAATTATTTTCAGTTTAAGAGTGAATGATTTGACACTTAGTCAATTTCAAAGACTCAGCAGTATTAGACAAGCACCATTGCAAGTAGATAATATCAGTGTTACCTGTGTCCACTCAGGTATTTAAAGTGCATTATCTTTGCAGTCTCATGCTTGTTCCCTTCACTTTGATGAAACAGAAGTAAACTTGAGAACAAAAGAATATATTAAAGTATGATTTTACTGTTAATAGTTAATCTTGAAACAAAGATTACTGTTATATATGCTTACAAGAATTCCTACTAGCAAGAGGAAGACGAAGGTCTAACCTTAAAAACGTATAAGCTACTATATTTTTGGTATGATATGTCATGTTTCAATATCTTTTACAAGTATATTTTCAAGCTATAAAATATAAAGGATTTTTCACTTATTCCTTTTCCTAACAGGACATGTTCAAAAAGAGATCGATTTAGTCATCGGCCCAAACAAAATGCCTGCTTGGGAAGAGAAATGTAAAATGCCATACACTGAGGCTGTTCTCCACGAAGTCCTAAGATTCTGTAACATAGTTCCACTAGGTATTTTTCACGCAACCTCCAAAGATACTGTTGTACGTGGTTACTCTATTCCTGAAGGCACTACAGTTATTACAAACCTCTACTCTGTACATTTTGATGAAAAATACTGGAACAACCCAGAAGTGTTTTTTCCTGAGAGATTTTTGGACAGCAGTGGACAGTTTGTCAAGAAAGATGCATTTATTCCTTTTTCATTAGGTAAAAACGATTCCTTCCACTGTTCCTTCGCATAAATCTAGGAACATACAACACAAAAGTGATGACAATAAATCAGAAATGAACAGCATGATTTAAATCCATGGTTCTGATGAAACAGCTATTTTAAAGATATGTTCTTTTCTGGGCATAGCACATTTTAGGATAATGCTATATAAAAATAAACTATTATACAACTTATACAAACTGACAACTACTATACAAATTATACAAACCAAGTGCTATTTGTTTCAGAATTAACGTGCATAGTCATTTGCTGCTAAACTTGTTGCAAGCAGGTGATATGCAGAGCTAGTTTTCAAATTTCAGCACTCTGTTCAGCACCAGAAATTGCAGGTATTTTTCCCAAGGAGGTCAGCTTATGGCACTACATTATGTTCCAAGAAAATATTCAGGGAGTCGTAACACAGTTTTCTTGGACTAGATGCACAACTTCTAAATGGCCTAAGGTAGATGTGATGAATTCTATCTTTATTGCTTGTCTTGTTCCTCTGTACTCATTTGATTTTAAAACTTCTAGAGTTTGTAATCCATCTGTTTTATGAAACCACAATTTCTTGCTCACTAAAGTGAAAATGTAATGTAAATAATTTTACAAGTCTTTTCAAAAACTTTTTTTCTAATCCAGGAAGAAGACATTGTCTTGGAGAACAGCTAGCTCGAATGGAACTGTTTCTGTTTTTCACTTCGTTACTGCAACGATTTCACCTGTGTTTTCCTCATGGTGCGATTCCAGATCTCAAACCAAGATTAGGCATGACATTGCAACCACAGCCATACCTCATTTGTGCAGAAAGACGATGAAGAGAGGTGTTTAGACTGTCAGGTGGAGGAAAATGGTCCAAGCTGCTGTCAAGGAGTCACTTGGATTTTATTTCTAAATGTATTCAAATTGGAAGAACAGAAATGTTAATGACTTAAACTATGGTTATTTATGCACAAGTGCATGGTTTCTTTTTACTTAGTTTTCACAAAGCAGACAAAAAAACACTCTCTACCAAAAATATAAAAAAAATCCTGTGTTTAAGGGTGACATTTCCACTCCATCAATTTGTTTTGAATCTAACATCTGATTCAGCTTTTATTTTCTTAGCAAGCTATTTTACTTTGAGAGAGTATTTTTATGACATAAAGAATATGGCTTAAATTTTTATACTCAGATTTATCTCTAGAAATCCTGTATATCCTTATTCAAGCAAAACTGGAATATATGATTCTCTATTAAATTCATACAGCTAAAATGATTTTAAAGGTATATTTAAATTTCTGTAACTGAGAAATCATAATTTGTGACCTCGACAAACAAGTCTATAATTAAAGCATTTCAATCCTTCCTTCATCATTCCCAGTATTCCTATACGGTCTTTATTTTCTAGTAAGTCAGATAACTGTATGATTCATTTTTGATGTATTTTATGGCTTGCTTTTTGTTCAGTAACATACGCAACGTGTTCCATTATTCCCATGCTCCTGACAATTACAGAAATGCACTTTGCTTGTTAATTGCATTTCCAGACACATCCTCCATTTCCTCCCAACACAAAGCATTACATAACAATTAAGCTCTGCCTCAGTAGTCTAAAAAAAATGTTTGTGTTACAAAAGTCAAGTGCAGCTACACTAAGAGTCTGCTCATGAGTGGCAGGAGAAGAGACTTTGTTGGAAGGAAGGAGAGAGTAGGATAGGGAGAAACAAATTTTTAACTGGATTTTAATCATAAAAGCTAATTGACTTCTGGTAACCCCATTTTTGATCCTGCTTGACAGCTACTGCATTATGATTATTGGTAGAATGTGAATTATGCACGCAAGGCCTACAGGAGAACGCAGTGCTCCAAATACAGTGAGTGCACAACTCTGTGTGGGTAGTAGTGGGACTTCAAAATAGAGTTCAGAAAAGCACACGTGCTGAGGGAACAGCTATTTACAAACAAGGCTTAATATTGAGTCTCGCTGTTTCCACACCTGTTGCTTTGACTGGAGCTGCAGGAAAGTTCAAAGGCAGAAATTTGACATTTTTCTTATCACCTGAGGTTTTCAGTTCATACTGAGCAGAAATACTTCCCTTCTTTTGAAATAACAACTGAAAAGTATCAAATACAGCTAGTATCAGTCCACTTACATAGACTACTATGGACTTAAGATGCAGCAGATCCAAATTAAATTACTTACATGTCTAAGGATGAGATGAGACCCATGTGTCCAACAGAGAACATCTCAAAAGCGTGTCGCTGGTGCTCTGAAAAGGGAAGAGTAGCAACTCTTCTTGCTAAACTACCTTTCTGTAGAGATTTGAGATTTCAAAAGGAAAGGATGGTTATAAACCTTATTTCTGTGTATTTGTCACACCATGAAAGCTGCAAATAATCTGTTTGTAAGATTCTTGCATATAGAATGAGTACAGAAGAGAAAGCTGCTGAGCTTCTCAGCACTGTCCAGACTGAGGCTTTTTTTTGTCAGCACAAGTAGCTGCTGGGTGCTTGTGAAATGTTTGTGCAAAAACTGTCAAATCTACCAAATTTAGGTCTTTTCAGTATGAAGGAACAGAACAGAAGAGTTTTCAGATACATTTCTAGACTAATGATAAGTCTTCCCATATCCCCACTTGTACTCTTCGTCAGATTTTAGTTATGCAGGTTTGCCATCTGAGTAACAAGAACTCCCCAACATTATTTAGTTAAAACATGTTTCAAATAAATCTTAATTGATTAAAAATATCAAGGACTAGTTCTCGTGGTATTACTCTCAAAAAACAACTGGCAATTGATTCCCTTATTTTTAGAAATAACTCTGTTTAATGAGAACTGTATTGATTATGTGTTATTCTGATTTCCAAATCAAAATACCTCATAGAAAGTCTTAAAATATCAGTCCAAATTTTTACTGCTATCTGCCAATTTGCAGTCCCATTTGAACAATCAAATACTTCTGACAAACTACCTTTTCTGTAAATGAATGCCTAGATCACTTATATATATATTTCATTTCTTGCCAGCTTCTTCATTATTTTTCTTCAGAAATCTGACTTAATCCAAAGATTCAATTTAACCATTTGAAATATGGACATAATCGTTTTTTCCAGTTATCTGGTATTCCTCTATCTTATTAAGATTGATTTGTCATGAACACTAGTCAATGGATTTATGTTTAGAATTTCCTGCTGACATTTTTTTTTTTAAATCTGTAATCACGAAAAAAATTCAATGGATTTACATTCCTTTCATATATGCACACTACAATCTCTCTACCTTACAGGTGTATGTTTTTATTAGTCAGATCCAATACCAGTAGAAGGTCTTCCCTTTCAGACTTTGGACTTTTTGGATGTATCCAAGTATAAATTCATATCTCTATGAGCTAGTGACACAGAATACAGGAAAAGGATGAAGGAAATCCTTTCTGAAAAGCTGTAATTCTTAAAAGTAGTTGGGATTCATGGTGAATTGTTAAACACAAGCTTTAACTCTGCAGCCAAAAGATCTTATGTGACAGAATACTGAATGAATATACAGAAATGACATGTGTATTTGTTGCTGGCACAAGCATTCCTTGAATACTGTGTCCTGATATGTTGTCTATAACTACGGGAGCATTTAAAATTTGGTTGTGTTTCTATAGAGCTATAAGAGTAACTAAGAATATGTTTATGCCATGTATTCTGGCTTGCTGCAATCTACTTCTACTGATTTATGAACTGAGCATGTATTATATGATCATATCAGGGCAGAACTATGTCCAAGCTAATGTGCTTTCCTGCCAACATAATTTATTGTTCCAGACTTGGTTGTACACTGGCGCTGTTAGTTTTGTTAAGTTGGAGACTCAAGCCTGTTTCCAGAATGTACATCACAGAAATATACTGAAGGACATACAGGCTGATCACACATCCAAGGCAATTCATTCACTTTGTTTACAAAATTTAATTTAAATGGCTTGATTACAATCTACAGCTGTCTCTACAGAGAACAAAAAGCTGGTCTCTTCAGTTAGTAGAAAAGAACAATAGCAGCCAAGCTGAAATCTCTTTAAACTAGGAACCACATGAGTATCTTGAAACTGCTGTAGATGAGGAATCAGGTATGTAACTGATAGTGAGATTAGTTACCCAGGATCATTAAGGAATTTTAAAATCAACTAATAGGTATTTCTCTCATGCTCTGCTTCTAATTTGCATTGCATGTAGCATGCACTGTGACGTAAGGTCACAGTATTCCCCCACAGCAATCTCAATCATCACTTTTAAAATATGTACTTTTCTCTCTCAATTCCAAATCTCTGGTAGCTATTTAAGAATTCAAGTGGCTTGAGCTGACATAGCAAGTAAGCTTTGTCTTGATTTGGTGTGCAATTGTACTATACAATTCGATCTGTGGTTGTCTGCAGAGTGAAAGTATGCCATTCACGTGCATATTTTTAGCCTAAAGGTTTGTACTAGCACAAATACTAGTGAGTAGATGAGGGAGATTATTAAGACAGCACGTTCACTTGGAAAAGTAACAAGTTCAGAAAAACAACAGTAAGATCATCAAGTCATCTAGGAAAAAGGGAGGGAATAATATTATGAAAAATTTGCAGAAATGCACTGAATTGGAAAACAGAAGGACTAAGGATAAATAGAAAAATAATCATAATTGTTTGAGTGCCAGATCAGAAGTTATCTTTGGGTAAGACAGATTGAAAATGAAAACAAGAGAATAGAGCCAGGTGCAATGGACTATTAAATACAAGCTTGAGAGGGTAAATTCTCAGTATAAATTGGTCTGTGAAGGTACAGACATGGATTTTCCTAGCAGCTGAATGCCTGAGGTTTTAGTATTGGGCCTTATTTTGGTATCTGGTATTACATAAGGCCTTTGTTTAATCAAGATCAAATTAAACTTCCGCTCTGGAAACATTTTGCCTTATTCTGTCCTTCATACAATTTGAGGATCAGCAGATTCTTCCATTTCTAGATTATCCCCTTAGATATTTCTGAAGACTGTCAACTATCTCGATGTCAATGTGATTAGAATTAGGCAGAACCCATACTCAGAGTGGTCATTTCTTAGGAAGTCTGCCAGAATTCAAGGGACATTATGTTTGCTACATTCTCCTGAATAAGTAACATTCCAAATAGATTAAATCCATTAAAATAATGGAGCAAATCAGGAATGTACAATCTAATCCAATAGCTTACTATTACTGCAGCAGATGGCTGCTTGCCCAAAACTTTACATGTTATTTATAACAGCCTATAGTAATGTAACAGAAAACAGAATACACTTTTTCCTTTGCTGTTTTCACCTCCTGATTTGCTTGTCTAGGCTAGTACAAAAATCCTTAAAGGAAATATTTTTAATTTGTATAAACTGACTTATCAAAAGCACAAAAAGAAAGTACATTATATATACTTAAATGCCATGCATTTGTATTATGCTCCCACTAAAGTGAGGGAATGCGTGATGTCAGTCATTGTTCAGATCCCTCACAGGATGGGCAACACAGATGGAATTTCAGCAAGCAAGGAATGCAGATTAAGTAGAAAAATGGCTGTGGATAAAACACCTTAAAGAATTTTAGTTACTTTAATTCTCTCTAAATGCACCCAAGATTAAGCAGTCCAAATGCTCTCTGGTTGTCTTTAGCTTGCACAATAAACTCTGTTAAAATAATAGTGCCGGTAGTGAGCAAGAACCATAGCATTACTGATAGGTCTAATTTTTCCAGGAAAAAAGCCAGATACCTATGAGCTTTCTTGCGCCTTTATAGGTAAGGAAGTTCATTTAATTGTTCTTCATGGGACCAGAGAAACTGATCTTCAAAGTTCCTTGAAGGCATCTTCACATCAAGTCTCAACGTATTTTACATTACATAAAGCCATACTGTTTCTCTCTCAAGTAACCTACAGTCAGAATTGTCACAATAGCATATTATAGAATAGAAATATATTTCTATATATATATAATATATAAATATATAATATATATATTAAAATATATAATAGAAATGCAACAAATCTCAACAAAGCATTTACTGCATCACAGATGACTGTTACAGCCTACAAAATAGCTGAGTTCTTCATGCTAGAAAAGATCACTATGTATTTGAAAAGAATAAGAACGATTCCTTGTTGACTGCAAAAAACCTCAGTGCTAAAGTTAAACTTTATTTAAAAATCCCCTCTTGCTAACGTTCATTTTCTTTGTAAGTATATAAATTGCATTATCTTAAAAAAATGTTACAGTGCCCTCACTGTGCACTTTCTTAAGCTCCATGGAACCATATAGCATAATAAATATCTAAAATGTAGTAAGTTTTAGCAATCAAAGCTTGGATTATTTATTTTAAACATTTGGCTACTGTCTTTCCATTTATTCATGCAACAAGTACACAGAATCTTAACTTCAGCTGTGCTCCAAACATTTATTGGAGATCCACTCCTTCTCCTCCAAGGGATTCCAAATTTCTCACTCAGCAAATAAAACGTTCCTAATGTGAGATGCATTACTACTTAAACGCTCAGTAAATGAAAAGCTTTCAGATTTTTTTCTATCATTTGTACATTTTCTTACAGATATTTAAAATGATACACATGACATCCCATCTCTAATGCTAATACTTAAAATACAGATCCAGAAAGGAGGTCAGTAAGTTATGCAGTTCATTCATCTCACCCAGCAATGTATTTTCTCAGCACTGTTTGTCAGACTTCATAAAACTTCCTTCCTACTCTAAAGATAATCTCGTTCAGTGAGTCACAACTTTCTCAATCCTCAGACAATTATTGTCTTAAGCATTATGAACACTGAAAAGATTATTCTGATTATTTTGCTGATTTGTATAGGAAAGCAATAATCTATCTAACGGACAGACACTTTTCCTGCAGTGTGGCATCCGAAGTTAGAAACAGTATATTGCTGTTTACTTACACTGAATAGAACAAAACGATTACAAATTCATTTTCAAACGCTTCTTCATTCACTTCTATGACTGAGAGGAAGCTTAGTTAAAATATGCATCAGATAAATTAGCAATACCACAGAGATCAATCAACAAGAAAGCCTATTTGAATGACCATGCATAAGAGAAAGATTTCATGCCTAACTTCCAATAAGCAATATCAAGTCTTTGAACTTTTTGTATAATAGCTTTAAGCCAAGCATTAGTCTTTGTTTTATACACAAGGAAAATGGAAAAACTTTGATCTCATCCAAGGTGCAATGGGTTTGCTGATCAGTAGCAATGAGTCAGAAGTGAATCATCACCTGTTTTTTGGCAAAATATTTAGAACATGGACAAATCACAAGGTGAATGATAAGAATCATCTGAAACACTATGCTATCTCATCATTACTTAAAGACTCCATTGGTTATTGTTAAGGCATTTGTTTCTATTTTTCTGAAAACTCACAGACAAACCACATGATAGAAAGCTTCTGCTCTGCATAGGCCTTTTAGTTTCCTTGGTATTGATGTTAATATTCTGCCAGGTAATACAGCCTGTGCATTAGAACCTACCATAGACACCAGTTGCTAACATCTGTGATTTCTTGCAGTGCAGAAACTAAAAGATGATTCACAGCGTACAGGTTCCAGAAGAAGCCTTCCAGTCAAAACCATTTGACTGTGTAGTGCACTTTTTAAGGGGTGTCTGCTGTATCACGTAGAACTGTGTGTCAATCCCTTAGGTGCATTAAACATCCATTATTCAGTACCCTGAATGAATCACAACATAGCATTTTAAGTCTGGCAGTTTCTGGACAGACATTTCCATTGTTGTGCCAAAGAAAAGCAGCCTTACTTTACTGAAACCATTTTCTTTAGCTTAATGCTATTATTAGCAAAACGAGCAATTGCTTTTTACTCTGTTGTTTTAGAATATTAAAGATAACGGAAGGGAGACTAACCAGAACTATTCTTTCAAGTCTGAGCCAGAAGTATCTCAGAGAAGAGTAAAAATGGACAATAAAACTGAGCAATCTGTCTTAATTGTTAAGACTAATGTGTATATATACATATATGTCTTGAGTTAGGAGTTGTATATCTGCTGGATTCATAAGGATGTTGGAGTACGCACACTATGCCAGCAGCATCACTGCCAACTGAAATGTTTATCCTGCAGTGGTTTAGTTCATTAGCTTTCCATCTTGTTACTTCAGGAATATTAGTCATTATTCTTTATCATTAAGCAGAAGACAGAATACTAATTGCTCGTGATGCCATTAAACTAAGATCAGATAGATCAATTAAGACCAGTTAACAGATGTGTTCTTTTGCTATCACCATCTCTGAGAAGTCACAGTATGATTATTATAGCAAGTTGAAGGCTTAATTCTGGAGATATCAGAAGGAAAATTCTTCATTGCAAAAATGAAAGAATTGATCACCTCATTTGCATTTACTCAGAAGTGAGAAAGGTAATTGTTCAGAAACACAATTCTGAGGAAAGCTTGAGAAAGAACACTGCCTTGATCATACTTGTTATATCTTTTAGTCAACTTCTCATTTATTTTCTCCATGTTTTTTAACCATGCTAACATTTATAAGCCATAAAAAAATCAATTTTCTTAAACTTGCATAGCTACTTCATTTATAATAGCTGCACTGTTAATAGCAGTATGACTTAATTTTCATCACTACTAAACCATTAAAGTATTGTATTAAACAAATAAAAGTATTAGTCATGTTTCCATGTTCTTTAAAAGACAGTGAGCTGGCTTGAAATGATAAAATTTAAGTCCCTCTTTTGTATAAGTAAATATCTTTTGCAAGCATATAAAATTATTTATGACATACCTACTTTTTATTTCCTAGTATTCATTACCTATGATGATTGTATTCTACTGTTAGTCTAGTATCAGTCTGGGATTCTTGATCTCACGATTACAAGCATAAGACACTTCAAATCTGCACCTCTCACATCTTCTGAAAAGGTTCCAGATAAAAGGGAAAGTTCTGCCTTATTAGTTTCAGGCTGTATTACTTCAAATTATTTGTATATTCTGGAAGAATCAGAAGCAAGGCCTCAACTACAAGTGCCCAGGAGAGCACACTATAGATACAAGTGAGCTCCTAAAATCTAATTCTTTGTGGTGATTCACCTGCCACTGGTTGTGTTTGACAGGCGGTCTCAATGTCCATGAGAATGCACTCCATTCACTTGAAAAGGGTGGTTTGAAAGCAGAGTGAAGAATTTCTCTCCTCTAGCAGAACCCTCTTATTAGCAACTTGAATGGAAGACATACAGAGTAAAAAATGGTTTTAACTATCTAGCTAATAAGATCTTACTCAAATACTGTAAACTTGAACTCACCTGAAGTAATGTTACACCAGTCCTTCCATTTTGAGTCTTCAACTCACCACCTGACTTTGCCAAAGGAAGAGGAAGCAAGTAGTTGTTCTTGGCTGTTTAGTACCGCCATGACATCCAGAGCTCTCCAGAGATATAGAGGGAATTTGGCTTCTTACAGGAAACTTCATAGTGCAGTTCTGTATGTACTGCATGCATGGGAGCAAGTAATCTAACCTACGTTGTATAAGAGGGCAATGAGGAGATGGTGGCTATTTTGACAGGAAAGGTGCTGTAAAGGCTTTACTTAAAACTGAAAATATCAGAAATAAGGATATCTACTGTAGCAATGAGCGTAAGCTAATTTAGCCTACTTTTGACCAAACAAGAAGTGCGTGTTGCTTTAGCAAATATTCTGAAGTTGTTCTGTGTGCTCCTCTGCGCTCCTTAGCATACCCTGGTAAATGTGGAATAGAAGTGTGATCACAGATCGAAATTAGTTGTAACTTCCCGGTAATCTGTCACCACAACGAGCGTGACCTGCTTCATAAGGATATGTGTTGCTGACAAGAGCTCAAACAACATTCAAATAACTCTCCATCAATATTTTTGAAAGATTACAGCACTTCAGTTGAAGTTACCTCCACTTCTGCAAACATGCCTTGAAGCAACCTTTGATGATATTAGCTCCTAGGAAAACAGTAAGCCACATATTACATATGTATAAACAACAGACATTCTAAGATGATTTTGAACACATTCACAACTAAGTGAACAAAATAAATAAATAAAAGGAATAAAAAATAAGAATATAAAATAAGAAAAATTAAGCTCAAAAAACTGATAGTAATAATGGCAGCAAAGGGGAATTTGGCACTGATAAGGTAAAACAAAAAGCACACCTCAGTAGTCTTTGAAAGTAAATGCACAAACAGCTGATTAGTGGGGGGGGGGGGGGGGGAAAAAAACTTTCTCTGGCCAAATGCAGAACAGATATATTAGATTGTGCGAAACAGCACAAAATAATTAAGACAAGATTATCTTAGAAATGTTACATCTTTTTCAAGCTAACTAATGTAAATGTAAACAAAAATATGCTAACATACATTAGCAACATGCATTTTTTTAATGCCATTCATCTGCACAGCATATAAATGCTCAGTATTAAAAAGTGCACTTTAAAGCTAGCTTTCTTCGTGGCTTGCATAAGGCGATTATTTACTTGCAGTTTAATTAATGTTTTTTATTTTTGCCACTAGCACTACACAATTGCAGTGTTCCTAAAATACATATTTGTGTGGATCGTGGATTAAGTTTCTTATTTTAAAATTAAATGATCTAAAATCTACTATATTACAGTGATGTTTATCTTACTACGAGGCTTTACTCAAAGCTTTCACATTCTGCTTTCCATATGTATATTTCTGGATGCAGATCAAGCTATGTTTGTGATGGAAGAAAGGATGTAAGGCACATTAACATACACTAGCCACTTTGAAACAGTAGTTTCTATCTTTTGTAAAAAAAAATCTTTAATTCTCCTAAAGTTTTACATACAAAGAATAAATGAAATAAGACCTTATTTCTTTACAATTTAATACCAGAAATTGGTGCAAGATAAAATCTATTGTGTTGCTGACTTGTTTTTTTAAACAGGAACCTGAGTAAGGGCAGGAAATATAGCATTATAACTAGAAGAATAAAATCCCTTAATAATTTAAGTAGCTGAACAGATTTTTAATGTTTTACCACAAAACAGCAAGGCAACAGATGATAATGGCCTCATATTCAACGAATACCCACTGCAAACCTGAATATTTTCTGCAAAAAAACCCAAACCATCAGATTATGCACAAGAATAAAAAGCATCATAAATAGATGCATCTGATTTTTTTTTCTTTTTTTAAACCACAAGTATCAAAATTTAGCTTTTCCGTCACAGTCCGTGAACAGTTGCTCTGAGATGACTACATTAAGCACGCGATTGCACTAAAGTAGACACCCCACAACAGGCTTGCACTGCAACAGGAATATGGTTTTCATATAGGCACAGAATTCTTCTTATTCATGTTCAAAAACAACATGAAATACACAGCTCAAGACAATATTAGAATTCATCAAACATATCCTTGTTAGCAAAAAGTTCTTGCCACTTTGGTAACTGAAGTCACTGAATGTATCTAAAAATCGTAGGTACCTCGAGGAAAATAAGAGTTCCATATTCAGCAAGGCAGCATTGTATCAGGATATTTTATACCAACTAAGGCATAAGGAACTTTGCATCTGGGTATACAATACTTAATTTTAGAATAAAGTTTTGTATTCTGTGTGGTGAAAGTGCATAGGAGTGGGATTCCACTGGAGCAGAAAGAATCCTCTCACAGTATTAAGGCCTTTCAACTTTAAGTGAAATGCATCAGGCTAAAGTCTGCACAGTGAAAAAAAAATAGGACTTCCTATCATCGTACTGAACACAACTGGAGTTTACTCAGCATGTCTTTTCTTCTCCTAGTTGCCGCTCATCTTCTTCATCAGCTTCCTCAATAACCTGAATTTCATCTGCTTGAGGTAAAGATGAGATCTCTGTTAGCAGTTCAGCTCCTTCAGCTTTTTCTTCTTCTTCAATTGCTTTCTTCCATATTTTGTGATTTTCACTGAGATGGTGTATTAGCTGACAGAATATTCTTCTACCTTTTTTTCTTTGAGCTTCTGTAAAAATTAAAGCATTATATTTTAGCTCTTTGAGATTCGAAGAGATCACATTTAAAACACACATAGAGAATAACGTCATGTTGAAAAGATATGAACTTGAGCAAAACCCACAAATGCTTACTCCCAGTATTTGAATAGCAACATGGATAATAAGGATAATCACAGTAGCTACAATATTTGAACAGCGTGATTTCAACCGCCACTGTTATGCCTGAATCTAGTAAAAGAAAACCAGGTACCAACTCAAGTATAAAATCTTACTTAAAATGAGATCATCTTCTATTTCTTCATCATCACTCTCCAACTGAGCTCCATCATCTTCATTACTTTCTGCATCCTCCTCTTCATCTACCCACCGCCCTGGAAGCAGCCCTGCTGCATTATAGGAATTACAAAGGGGGCCAACTATGTGAGTGATGAAAGATTCTTGCAGTTTTGCAAGTTGTGGAGAAGAACGATCCATGAAAGGACTTATAGGTAACCCAAGACTTGCCTCTTCATCACCCTGAAAGAGAGATTACAAAAAAAACAGAACTTCTCAAAATATTAACTTTAAATTTTGATTTGAGAGATTAATTTCGAGGAGATGAGTAAACAAAGCTGATTGCATCTTTTTACCAAAGGCAATAGTAATATAAACTAAACTAATGAAAATGGAGTTAGAACAATCAAGAAGATATTTTAAGATTTGCAGATCTCATAATCCTCCCTTCAACTTGCTCTCAATATCTCAAAAATTGTTGACATTTGTAGGGAGCTCATCTTCAAGCTTCCAACAGAACTAACTGGAAGTGAAAGATTACATTAGTATGCTTCATATAAAAATAACTTGTCAGTATTCAGAAAAAGAAGACGGAAATATTTTGTCTGACTTTATCCAGATAAGGAATAATGTTCGTATTAGTTACACATTTAGTAGCATAAACAACTGATCATCTGCCTCTAATTAAAAATATGTATACTTCCAACACCTACCTGTTCATAAAACTCATTAACAATGCCTTCTGTCCATTTCAGATGCAGCTCTCTAACTTTTGCTGGGCCATTGATATCTGCCAGTTTGATGCATATTTGACAGACAAGCAGGCGATCATTTTCATTGCTCCATTCTATACCATGACTGTCGATATCATTGGCCTGGGTTGAGCATATACATTTTGAAAAATTAAGTTAAAACTATTCATCAGTATTATATTTTTAGGCTCTGCACCAAGACACTTGAATTATTTTTTCTATAGACTTTTTTTTTTTTTTTTTAATCTTAACACAGTCAAAAAAGTAATTTTTCATCTCTGAAATAAGACTCAGCTCTACTACAGGTCTGCAAGGCCTACCAGGCAATATACAAACCAACATAAAATTGTTCTCTATGAAGAAAATAGCAGATTTGCATTTTTTTAAACAACTCAATAAGAAAAAATTTTAAATACAATTGTTTAATATCAACAAATATTCAATAGCAACACAAACATCAGCATACTGCAACCAGCCCAGCGCAGGCAGTAAAATGTAACTAACCTTGGAATTGAATTCTGCAAGGAAATCAAAATGCTTCTTGAGATCTGTGGCAAGGATTGCTTCAATCACTAAGAAACGAAAACGCTTAAACTCTACGTGATCAAGATTTGATAAAAAGTTGTATTCTGGTCGTGATAAGAAAAGATTCCAGGCAGAAGCAGCATGGTGATTTTCTAAGACTGATCTGTCATTGTAAAGAACAGCCTACAAAAGAAGAGAATCATAAATAACAGATTTAAGATTTTGAACTTAATATTCTGAAGCTTAAGGATTAGTCACTAACAAGATGTTTTTCTTTTTTTTTTTTTTTTTTTTTTTTTTTTTAATTAAACTACCCAGTGATGTTTTACCTTCTAGTTTTGAGGGTTATAGAGGAAAAAATGGCAGATGAGAGGAAAAAAAGCCAAGTAGTAAAAGCTTGTATTTCTTCAAGTTCTCCAAAGGTCTTTCAAAGCTCCATTCACGCTTACACATGATACACACCTCTTAAAACAGAGATTGAACTTCTGGTAATATGTACGAAGCATACACCAACAAAAACAAAACAAAAAAACTCATAAACTGAATTGGATTCTGATCTACTATTATTGCTGTTGTCATTATATATTTTTCTTGTCTCAAACTTCAGAGATGCAAACCACCATGATCAGTAATTAGTATTTTTCTTCCTCAATCACTACTACCCTATGCAGTTCAGATATCTTTTATTCAGTGATTTTCCTTCTCCCATTCCCAGTTATTTACTCATTTCATTTTGCTCTGCTCTATGTCACCTTTTTCATCTTTCGCTTTTAGACCTTAAGAGAATTTCCTTTCTTTCCGTTTTCTAATAAAGCTGATTACAGCAGATGAAAGCAAGCATATCTTGCTAATTTTGTCTTAGTTTATTCATCCACTCTTAAAAATAATGACTGTTTCCCATAACAGATAAATACTAAGTTCAGATTTTAGGCAACGCAATTCAGTGAACTACAAGAACAATTCATGTTTTTAAGGTAATTGCAGAAATCCCTATGATAGCAATAGACTTTTCATAGGACTTGCAAAATCAAATATATCCATTAATTTAAGTGCTCAGACAGTCCTATAGCCAGCTCTGTTTGAAATTATCTTTTACTACAATCTACATAGATTTAAGTTACTTATAGTCTTTTTAAATTGAGAATGTTTTTCATATATGTACAATCTATGTACACAAAATACATGAGAATTTATCAGGAAAAACAGTTACACAAGTAAATTCAAATTCATTTCTCAAAGCCTTAAATTGGACAAATGATTCCTACACAGGCAATATAGGAATAAAGAAGAAAATAATTTTTACTATTCTCCTTGCAGATAGAAATAGTTTTCTGATTAAAAAATTTCTTACCTGTGGTGCATTTGTAGCTACTAAAAAAGCATTTGTACGACCGGGATGATCATAATCATGCATGGCAGCTGCCACATATAAAGCCATCAGTTCCAAGGCAGGAATGTTTGATGCCAGGCACCCGTAACTGTCATCAGTAACAGAACAGCTTTTTGAAGAAATATAGCTGACTTGATCAGGAACACCACCACCAGCTTCATCTAAGAAAAAATCATATTACTGTTTTTACATAAACCAGCAATTTTGAAGCACATTCGGGAAGGCCAGTAAGAAGTAAATTCATCATGACCGTACGTGTTGTCCAACAAGGTAGCCAAAATCTTACAAATTCACAGAA